CCCCCCTTCTCTCTCCTCTCCTCTCCTCTCCTCTCCTCTCCTCTCCTCTCCTCTCCTCTCCTCTTCTCTCTTCTCTTCTCTTCTCTTCTCTTCTCTTCTCTTCTCTTCTCTTCTCTTCTCTTCTTTCCCCTCTTCTCTCCCCTCTTCTCTCCCCTCTCCCCTCTCCTCTCCCCTCCCCTCTCTCAGGAGATGCTGTTCCCACTGCCAGCTGCACAGCCCTGTGCCTCAATGCACTGATAACTGTGCCAGCTGCTGATAACGTGTTAGCTTGAGGTACCTGCCTGGTGTGGAGGTGAGAGAAACCTGGTGGGACTGTGACCCTTCCCTGCTGGCCCTGCTGTGCAGACTGGGATACCCTTGACCTGGCTGCAGGATGTGTTAATAGGAGGTTAATGTGAGTGCTCTACTTGGCTGCTTACACAGCATTTTCACATGCTTGTTCCTTTGAGAACACCCCATCTCACCTGCCAGCCCATGGGGAGGATGTGGTCATCCCATTTTCCCTAGAAGCCTCAAGTCTCTTGTCTCAACCTCCTCTCCTCGTGGCTCTTTTGTGGTGCTGACAAGGGGCTTGGACATGGGGCTGAAGCTGTGCCCACTCCTCAGGAAACAGGAGCAGCCAGCACTGAGCCAGCTGTGGAGCAGGAGGGGGCAGGAGAAGTGTAACTGCAGGGTCCTGAGATAAGGATTTGAGACTCAGGGGCTGAAGATCTCAAATCCTGAAACTCAGAGGCTGAAGCACCACTAAAATGACACCTCATGGAGTGTCCCTGCCCAGGGATAATCACACCTGTACCTGCAGCAAAGATCCAGCTGTGAACTCCCTTTCTGGGACCAGCTCTGAGATGAACAGGGGAGACAGGAAGATATTATCTAAAGTTGTCAAAGTATTTTCAATGAAGTTTTGGAATACAAAGCTGCTAACTTATATCAGGTAAAAGAACTGAGTGTTGGAAAGACAAAGTATCTTCGTGTTGCCTCCTTGTCTAGCAGGGCAGAAATGAAATGTCCTGTCCAGGGAGCTGGACTGGGCATGGCCAAAAATGCCATTTTTATCTCATAGAGAACCTGAAGAGAAGAGAACCCTGGAGGGTACCTGCATGGGAGGTAACAGCTCTGTGTGCTGATGGAGGTGGGGAGAGAAGGTTGAAATAACTGGCACTAGATATTTATTCTTTTTAAGTCTCATTTGAAAAAAACCACACATTTGTCTTAGTTCTTCCTAGATTTCACAGGCTGAGAAATATTGGTTAGTTTTTTGGTAGAGTGAAGGAAACAAATCTTGTGCAGCCTGGGCTGGTGGGAGGTGTCCCTGCTCATGGCAGGGAGGTTGGAACGTGATGATCTTGAAGGTCCCTTCCAACCTTCACCATTTCATGATTCCATGACAAACCTCTGTGTTTGCCAGCCCGGGGTGTGTGTCTGTTGCACCCTGGGCCACGTGGATAATTTGGGCTCTGGGGAGAGGAAAGCTCTTCAGTTAACTGTGGAAAGGTTTGGAGGAGGAGGTGAGCACACAGCTGGTGGAATTAGCTATTGGTCTGCACTGGTGTAAGTTAGGGTTATTGGGTTTGTTGGGGTTTTTTTTCTCCATTTGTCTTTGGCTTCATTTGGAGAGATGTTTTTTCTTTGCAGTCTGGGTGCTCAGCAGAGCAACTGGCCCCCCAGGTGCTGTGACAAGGAGGTGGGAGAGCCTCAGAGAGCCTGGGTTTGTGCAAGAAACAGGGAATCCTCAGGTAGGGTAATTTTCCCATAATCTACTTATTAAAAAATTTAAAAAAGGGGGATAGTAACTCAGCTCCTGTTCAGGTGCTGAAAGGTCCAGACAACCTGATGATCAGCAGAGCAAACTGCACAAAGAGCTGCCAAACTCCACTTGCCTCTCACTGCAGCAGCCAAAGAAGTTTGGCCCTGAATTCAACCTCTGCAGGCCTGGAGGGGCCTTTTTGGCACAGGATCCTTGGGCTGGGCCCTGAGCCTGCCTGGAAAAAGTTTTCCTTTCCTGCAAGAACTGCTAGAGAACATCAGCAGGGCAGGCTGGGCAGAGCAGGGGCTGAGAAACTGCAGAGCTCAGAGCAGGAGGGTGCAGGGGCTTCTCTCTGGGGAGTGTGCTGGGTGCTGAAGTACCCAGAGACTTGTGACCTGCTGGAAATGTGAGACCTCTCATGCTGCTGAGCAGGTTGCTGAGCATCCCTCTCCCTCACCTTCATGAGAACAGGGCCTGGATCATTAGCAGAAGACTTTTAGCATATGGGGAATGAAGAGGCTTCGGCATGAGTATCAAATTATTTATTTGTATCAAAAAGAGCTGGTTTAATGACATGTGTTTGGTAGAGCAGCTTAGGATTCCTTTAAAAACAAAAAGAAAAAAAAAAAAAACACCAACAAAACCAAAACCCAAAGAACCCCAAACCCACCCCAACAACCAACAAAACACCCCTGCCCATGACAGGCAGGAGGATTCATGTAGTGACAGCGTCGAGTAGCAAACGTGTGAGTAGTGAAGAACAAAGTGGACTCTTTAGGCAGCACAACTTTGCATAGTTCATGGGCAATTAATCTGATTTGGCTACAGTGGATGTGGAAAACCACAGTCCTCATTAGCTGTAGCAGATGTCACAGTTCCTATCCCTTCTGAAGAAGTCCTCAGCCATGGCCATGGGGGGCAGGTAGTCCATGCAGTCTGTGCTGGGGAAGTACTGGGGGACCCTGTTGTCCCCGTGCTGGGAACCACAGGCTGTGCAGCAGCAGGGAGGCTGGGGATAAGGGGAAGGGGCATGGCAGGACCACTCCTCCCCAGGGCAGCCATAGGTCTTGGTGTCCAGGGCAGATGGGGGGCTGTGGGTCAGCGGGGTGAAAGGAGACAGCTGAGGAGGAGAGCAGCTGTGGTTGAGGGGGCTGGAGAGCTCAGCTGAGCTGGGGGAGCCAGGAGCCTGGAGTGGGAGAAGGAAGAAAAAAAACACACAGGGGGCATTTCAGGGTGTCATTTGGGGAAATGTGGACAAGCTCTTGGAATTCCAGTGGTGCTGCCTTTCTCTGGCTACCCAGGGAGATGGTTTGGCCCTCGGAGGCTTAAACCCAAGAGGCAGTTCCTGTGACATCCGTGTTCACAGGGAGCCCCTCTGTGAGTTAGAGGGCTGAGCTGCTCTGTGCAGAAAATCTCCAGGATCTGGAGAAGGGCCCTGCCCTATTCTGCAGCCTCTCTCTAGGGCTGACTGGGTCTCCCCATCCTCTCTTCCCAAAGGGAAAACCAGTCAGGTTTGCTGTGGCTGCACCCCATGCCCTTATGAGCAGCCACATTCCCAAATCAACTGGCTGCTCTTGTGCCCCAGGATGTGACTCCCTTCCCCACCTTTCATCTGAGTCCACCTGTGGCTGCCCCCCTGGGACACAAATCTTACCAGGCCCTGGTTAAAGCAGAGTGGGACTGGCTGGAATGCATCTGAGGTGTAGTGTGAGGATGTCTGGAAGGTGCTGAAGGCTGGATCTAGGGCTGCATCTGGCTGAAGGCAGGACTCGACCAGCTGCTCCAGGTAGCCAGGGCTCTCTTCACAGGAGAGGCAATTTGAAAACTGCCATGATGGACAGTAGTTGGGAACAGAAGAGATGGGTTCTGCATCAAAAGGTGCTAGGAGAGAAGGTAGAGCAGATTATGCAGCAGCTGTGTCCAGGTGTTGCCTCAGACCAGGTTTCAGTACCTTCATAGGTTCAGGAGCCCTATGGATTTACACAAGGAAGTTCAGGATGAATTTTCAGGGAAGAAGACACCAGGAATAAGATGCTCAAAAGCATGTAAATAACTTGAGAACTTTAGTCTCCTTGGACAGCTCCAAAGCTCTTTAAGGACTGCTGGAAACTCTTCTGGCTCCAACCACTTTGGACACGGACCCAGCTGGAAACTCCCTCAGACTCTTGACCCTTTGGCCTCCCTTGAAATGTCAACTGTTTACAGACCTAGGAGCTTGCCATGCCCTGATTTGTGCTTCCCAGCCTGGCCGGTGGCTGCTGCCTTTGCCTTCCCCAGCTCCAGATGCAGGGCAGCTGCATCTGCAGGAAGAAGGGGCCAAGAGAAGAATAATTTGCTCTTTCCATCCTCCAAACAGCCAACCAGGAGAGCAACTTCTGAGCAGGCAACATGGAGCAAGTCAGTGCTAATGGGGCAATAATACTGGACAAAATGTCAGTTCCCAGCAAGCTGGGTGGTCAGTGTGAGTGGTCAGGCTGACTGTGCTGGCTGGGGGGTGGGAGGTCCCATCAGAGCTGACTTTTCAGTATGAATCTGTTGATTAAGGTTTAAAGCAAAGCCCTGCACAGCCCTGGGTGGGGGGTGGAACTGCCCAGGGGTAGAGAGTCACTCAGCCACAGCTGCAGGTTGGACGGGGCATGTTTAGCTGGACGTGGGCAGGAAGTGAGAAGCACCCAAAATACATAAACAGGTGGAGACTTTCCAGCCTGGAAAAGCTTTTGGTATGTCTCACATTTCTGTATTAACATAAGCAAATTGATTCCCAAATATTGATGGTTTGATCATTTCCTTTTTTATATAATGCACATATTCACACCTGCCCAGCCTTTTGGGTGCCTCTGCTTTGGCTGCAGGGAAATGGAAGGATCTGTAAGACCAAAGTGCTGTTCCCCCCACCCCTTTCCCCCTGGATATTCACATACAGGAGGAAGAAACGGTGTTGCTGAAAACCTGACACTCCTCTCCTTCCTATGGATGCTGCCAGGAGAGGGAGAACAACCAACTCTGCTGGAGCTCAGCAAAGTTCCCCAGGGCAACCTGAGTCTCTTGGACCCGCAGGAGGTGATGCCAGCGCTGCTGTTCCCTAGGGGATGAGCATCCCTTCCTGAAGGGGGGAAATAAACGGCACAGATGAGAACCTGTGAGCTCCTGAGCTGTGTAATGTGTACCCTGCTGGCCCCACGGCATCCTCATCTGCATTTCATGGGCTCCTTTCAGGTGCTGATTGGCTGCGTTGCCGGTTATCGGGTAGTGCCTGCCTGGAGCAAGGGCTGGGAAGGATCTGGGCTGAGGGGGATGGAAATTTGGAAGGGGGTGGGAAGGGACATGTGGATGGGCTTTGTACCAACCTGGGTGAGGAGGAGACACGGACTCTGAGAACTGGATGCTGCTGCTGCCCCAGGAAACCTGACCAAAGAGAAGGGAAGAGAAGGGGTTGTAGGCGCTGTAACAGGGGAACGGGTTTCTCCAGGCTGAGGTAAGAGAGGATCTCGTTTCAACCTACTCGTGTAAACCTTATTTTCCTCATGGATGTGACATGGAAAACTTCCCTAGCATTGACAGAACCGGACTGATGTGTCCAACACGATTTTTCCCTGAGCTTGGAGCAGCACTGGAGGAGCCCCAGGCTGGGACAAAGCCCTTGGGTCAGCACCTGCCTGGGGAGCTCTTCCTGCTGTGCTGGTGCTGCTGGTACAGCAGGGATGTGGCTGCCTCTGAACCTCACACCTGCCCATTTCTAGGACCAGGAGTTCCATATCCCAAAGAATCTGTTGGGATCAATATGGCTGAGATTAACAAATGGCAACAACACCTCTCGAGAGGTGACTAAAGGCACCTGCAGGTGTCCCCATGGCTGGGCACCAGCCTGGGCTGCTGGGCTGGGTGCTGGTGCCAGCTGAGGAGCAGCTCTGCCACCCCTCCCAGCCCTGCCACAGCTGTGTGCCCCTGGGAGAGGGGACAGCCTCCTTCCCTGAGGGATGCTGGAAGCTGAAGGGAGCAGCTCTGCCTGTCCCAGCGACCTGACCTGCCCCGGAGGGGAGAAACCCACCCCCAAAACAACCAGAGCTTGATGCTTGTTTGTGACCAGGATTTTACTCTGCAAATACAAACACTGTTTGGTTTGGGGTTTGCTTTTTTTGTTTTGTTTGTTTTTCCTCAGTTTTAATCCATACAGACTCCCACTTAGTTTCCTTTATTTAAAATGCTCTTGAGTTAGCAGCTCATTTCCCTCACAACAACTTCCTAGCACATCCCCATTCATTTGGTTCATTAAATTGTGGCTACTTGGGGCTGGAAGGACTATCCCTCTTCTCTTTGGCTGCAGACGTGTACCAAGGCAGACAGAGCCAAGCCCCTGGCAGCAGGACTTTTCAAGTGTGGTGGTTTCCAGCACCCAGAGGCAGCTGATCCTGCCAACCCTCCCCTCTGAGGCCTCTCCAGGACAACACACACCTTTGGCAGATCACTCAGGTAACCTGCTGCGCTGCCACTTCTCACTCCTTTCCTGCGTGGGCGACTCCAGGGCTGTGTAAAGTGGCTGTGGGAAGCACAAACCAGTTCCACACAGCCCTGGGATGCTTGGCTGCAAGGGGGAGGCTGCAGGGCAGGGGTGACCCAGCATTTCCAGAGCCCAGCACTTTGGTGCAACGTTCACCCGGGGCTCTGTGAGTCCCATCCTGCTCCAACAACACTTCTAATCAAAATATCCGAGTGTGGTTGACTGAGTTCATGTCTCCAGTGATTTCCAGTACCACCTCCCAGCCCCATCCCTTCTAAAGGAGGGGATGGAGAGCTCTGTGTGTGTGTGTGTGTGCTACTCTCTCACTCCTCCAGGCTTTGTAGGAGCCCTCCAGCTCCAGCCACTCTAGAGATTTGCATAAAGAGGCTGGTAAATCATTACTTCTTCCTGGTTCGTGACAGCTTGGCAAAAAAAAAAGGGTTCAGAGAGAAGAGACAAAGCAGCCAGCAGGACATTTGTTACTTGCCGTCGCAGCCGTCGCTGCCTGTCGTGCTCTTCTCTGCTGCAGTAGCTCCTTGACTGTGATCTTCACTCTAACCCCTTGGTACACCTTGGGCTTTCCTGAAAGAAGGTGTGGGGAAACACTTCACAAGCTGGGAGACTCCCAGAGCACGTTCAGCAAATCCAGTCTCTTTCCAGACTCATTCTACACTGAGTTAACAGAGGATTAACTCTGTTAAGTCAGTTGTAGTCACAGTTTACAACCCTCTTTAACATTTCCTATCCAAGCTTGTGACCAGCAGGCATTTATTTAAAAGTTGGCATTGATTTTTGTTCCATGTTGTAATCATACACATTTTATTCTGTCTCCTTCTTCCCCCCCTTCCCAGCTCTGGTCTGCACAGGTGGATGGACAGGGCTGGAGGCTCCACCACCAGCACCTTAAAGACAATTAGCAGGTGAGGTGTGGACACACCAGTAAGTCAGGGGTAGCCCCCACCCCCAGCTCCTGTGGCAGAGCCCTGTGCCCCCAGGGACCCTCCTGTGCCAGCACCCCCAGGCCCTGGATGAAGCTTGGAGGGCAGAGCAGGGCAGGGCACAGCCAGCTGGGGGAACTGTGGGTGGTGGGATCAACCTGGGGGTCAGGCAGTGGGGTGGGCAGGGGCAGGGTGGGGAGGGTGAGCTGGGGGTCAGGATCAGGGTGGGCTGG